ATTGCTGCCGAGACGTGGTACCTGAGAATGTTTCAGATATATTCTGAGACTTCTTTGGCTACCAGGATAGTTATATTATCTGAAGCATGAATAAGTTCATCCAAATTCCGAAGGCATTGTTTGTTTTGTTTGATAACTGTGTAGTAGTTACATTAGTAGTTACAAGTTACATTAATAACTTTAACATTAGTAGAATTCCATCGCAAACAATTTATGATCGCGATGAAATTCTAGTATTTTCGCATTGCTTCTCAGAAACAGTTCGATGCGGACTCGTGCCACCTCATCAGTATCGCCATGAACTCAATAATATATTAAACGAAATTGAGGTTTTTGAAATAATGAGACAAGATAATGTTTTCTTGAATTCAATCATTCTTAGCCAAATGATGATTTTTTTTTGGTTTACTATTTATTCTGGGGAAAACTGATATTTCTCAGTGAATTTTCAGAACGAACTTCTTGGTAATGCTCACTTTTTGGCCATATTATATTTCAACGTGGTCTTAATTTACCTGTTTTATTAAAACGCAATGAAAAATAATCATCATCCTGAGAGAATGTTCAAATTTTTCATTAGGGTGACAGCTTGTAGCACTTTGATATTCATTTCCTTGTGGAATTTTCCTTGGCAATAATCAAACCATAATTATTTTTTTTTTCAGTCCAACTCCACCTATCATTATCCAGGCCATTGGCACGATCTTCTGGTGAAACCAACTCAAAGCTACAACGCTGCTACGAGTGAGAGGACCCAAAAATACCGTATTACCAACCTTCAACCAGATTCTGTATATGAATGTCTTATCCAAACCAAGAATCAACATGGCTACGGAGAGCTTTCGGACTTGCATCAGTGGTTCACCTCCCCCAGGGGTCGGTACATTATGCAGAATAGTAGTGAAAGACTCAGTGGAGCAGCGTGGCGTCTTATATTTCTAATGAACGTTTTGATTTTATGGAGGGTGCATATAGGAGCGTTGGGTTAGATATTTTCTCGTATTTTATACCCAGCCTGTGGGTTTTTGCTGCACTGTTATGTACATACTAGTAGCAAAGATACTAGGTGGCCAATTTGGAATGTTTCATCGTTTCAATGTTTTAGATTGTCCTGTTCATCTTCAATATAAATATTACGGTAGATCGATTTGGTACGTGTAATAAAGCGGTTACCTTCGAATTTTTGAATATTACCGTTCTCATTGCCTCTGCTGTGATCATAAATTCTAACCATCATTACAATTAGCAAACACGAAAGGATTATTTGAAAACTCATGCAGAGAAACTGAGATATGTTCAGAAGCTGAAATGCAGAGGAACTCAATCCAATCCTAAGCAAAATATTCCTAGTACCATTCATCAAGAGGTGCAAATACAGTTACAGGTCTATTGGATTGGTTTTCAGCAAAATTTTCAGCTATAATATCCCAAGGACATTGATAACTAACGAAATAATTTTATCACAGTTTTCGAAAGCACGTTATTTGGTAACATCCCTNGCTGCACTGTTATGTACATACTAGTAGCAAAGATACTAGGTGGCCAATTTGGAATGTTTCATCGTTTCAATGTTTTAGATTGTCCTGTTCATCTTCAATATAAATATGACGGTGGATCGATTTGGTACGTGTAATAAAGCGATTACAATTAGTAAACACGAAAGGATTATTCGAAAACTCATGCAGAGAAACTGAGATATGTTCAGAAGCTGAAATGCAGAGGAACTCAATCCAATCCTAAGCAAAATATTCCATTCACCAAGAGGTGCAAATACAGTTACAGGTCTATTGGATTGGTTTTCAGCAAAATTTTCAAAGAAAACAAATGTTCAAAACCATTTTCTCTGATATGTGGTGACAAAAATCACTAAAACCATTGAAGCAAACCAAATTTCAAGTGGAGTGGTGCGCTGGTTTGAAATGAAAACCGCAATTTTCAAGTGCTCTACTGCAACTAGATATACTGATGAATGCTTCAGCAAAAATTATTCACTTGTGCAGTTCCAATTGGTTATAAATAATCCCCAAACATGCGCATTTTATTTGCTGCATCTTAGTAAAAATTTACAAATAAATACAGAGGGATCACTAATGAATATAGAAGTTGTCATGGAATCAATAGGTTTGAGATTTATGCTATACTTACCATTTTTGAAGGAGATCTGCGTAATGCAGTAACTTCGAGCAGTTGGAAGTCCGTCGAAGGAGACATCCGCCCCACAAGAATCTATTACTGTTGAAGTTCAAGCTTCATCATCAGGATCGCGTCAAACTGTAAAATATAGAGGGTTTTGAGTAAATTATGACGAAACTGGGTCATTAACGATCTAGTTTGCTTTTTGTTAAGATAAGTCAATAAGGGCATCAGGCCTATTGCAGTGATATTAAATTAGTTTCTTCATGTCTCCTTTTACTTCGTTTTTATTATACCCATAATTTTAAAGTATGTTTTCTATTCAAAACAATTAATGACATATACTTTTATATGATCCTCACTTCCTTCATTTTTTTCATTTCCTATACTCTGGTCGGTTTCGATTACAGATAAACCCAGGATACTTCAAATCAAGTTTTTTCTCAAGGTATATCGATGGATCGTATTTATCGTAACGTCATTAAATATGATGGACCATGATTAAATGCATCTCTAAGAACACATGATTGGACAAAGAAATTGAATACCGAAGCTTTGATATTTTGTGAAATTGTGTACTTCTAACGCCTGTTGCGGAATGGGAGTTTTTTTTTGTTTCGCTTTGTATAGTTGAATGAATAACTTTTTTATTTTTCAAAATACGAAAATTGAAAGCGTTCTAAAACATGTGGCCAAAACAAGAAATGGCAGTTATTTCCACCTAATAAATCGCCTGTTGCGGAATGGGAGTTTTTTTTTGTTTCGCTTTGTATAGTTGAATGAATAACTTGTTTATTTTTCAAAATACGAAAATTACGAAAATACGAAAGCGTTCTAAAACATGTGGCCAAAACAAGAAATGACAGTTATTTTCACCTAATAAAAATTACAATTAGGATTTCGAAAGCACTATGTAAACAAATCAGTGCATCAGAGGAGATTTCGAAAATTTTTCAGGATGACACAGCATTTTCCAGTTCTGGATGATACTGGATTATATAAACATTTTTCTCACGTATCTTCAATGAATTCAATGTTTTCTCAAGTTGAATTTTAAGAGAAAAATATTTCAGAAAGTTGCGAATAATAACCGAAATATGGAGTGAATTATTTAATATTCAAACGAGTGTATTTACGATAAGTTTACTCGCAAAGCACCAAAAAGTGTATTTTTACTGATCTGAAACATATATTTCAAAAAAGTTAGAGGTGGTTAGAAAAAAAGAATCGTTGTAGGTAACCCAAAGCTGATATATTCATCTGATGAAGCATCAACTGTCGACATGCAGAAGTCCAACAACGCAAATTTGTTCTAATTTATCAACTCCCCAGGATATTTCAATGATGAGGATAGAATGGTCGAATTGTGAGATCTCAAACAGATGTTAATCTCAACTGAATTGGAGCTGCAGAACAATACTCACAAACTAGCAGAGATAAAAAGTAAACTAGAATGTTACAGATCTGGTTGTGATTCGGAATCATCATATGGTAAATCTGATAGAAAGCCTAATTGACGAATATTTGTCATTATTCTATGTTATCATTATTAAATGTGATTCTGGGTAGAATTTCTAATCTCGAATTTTACAAAAAATATAGTACATACTAAATAATAAGAAACCTTCAACGTGAACTTCATTTTTTCAAATGTATTCAAAACTTTTTTTGAAACCAGAACTACGTGTTATTATAGTACTTTTTGTGGAAGAATCATTACCAGGCAGTCAAGACTATGAAAGAGAGGAACATTCTGAATTGAGCCCGTATAAATTAGAGTATACATCATGAAAACAGTGATATCGGAACTCAATCCAATCCTAAGCAAAATATTCCATGTACNTTTTTGTTGGTTGATGAAACACCAATCTTTGTTGAATGATGTTAATAAAAACACAGTAAAAAATTTATATCCCCAACCCAGAGTTAGTGTCATGGTATTTATTCAGTGGCTTTAAAAAAATACCTAAACTCTTAATGAAAAAAATTAATAATCATAATATTAAGAGTCGCAATTAGAGTCTTCTGACCTGAAGTAACAGAAGATCAGATTTTGATCAGATTCAGGGTTATCATATATAGTCAAAATAATGTTCTTGCTGTCTTAAATATTATAGTCACTGAGTTTATTGAATCCTGATAAATCTTTCTTGGATGATGGATCGTTCAGAGTAGGATCTTCAAACCCCTGATATTAATGAAATTAAAATGAATTATTTGCTTCACTGAGTGTTTCCTGGGACCCGTCTGACTCGTCCATTTTTTCCAAGTCTTATTTTGTTCTTCTATCTTTTCATGACACCTATTTCAACAATTTTGTTCCTCTACTAGTCTTTAGAGGTATCTTTCTTCATTGAGTGTTACTTGAATACTTTTTTTCCAAATTTTACCAATACATAAGATAAAAAAGTATCAAGATGGACTTCCTGAGCTCATCCGCTTCATTTACTGAAGAAAAATGTTGTGTATAGACAACACATATTTTCATTTGAAGAATGAAATTGATTCGTTTCTCGCCAATACAATGTAGAACTCTTTCTCAACAACCGTTAACGACTTCAAGGACTCTAGTCAGATGTTGATGTATATTAGACAATTTTTTTACCAATGAAACCATCCAAACCTGAAAAAGTTTTTCTATCCATTATAATGATAACACAAATATTCTTATTTCTAGACGCGATTCGCTAACACCGTAGCTTCCCTGGGGAAAATTTATTAAGTTAGGTAGCTTTTCATTAAAAGCTCACATTAGTCAGAAAATAACAGGTTAAGTGGTTGCAAAGACCCATTGTTAATATCATATTACTATTTTGTAGTAGATAGAAAAGTATTTAGAGAAATAATTTCTCCTTTATTTGTATTTGAATTGTGCATACTATACTGGCAGATATCTAATGAAAAAGTACGGCTAGCTTTTGTGTACATTACATTGCAAATATTTTCGAAATACTGTGATTTATTTTTTATGTATATACTCTCTATAATGGGATATTTGAAAACTGAAGGGTACTGAAATTTTTATATTAGATAGATATATGAATTGAGCTGAATCAATTATTATTAAGGGATAGGTGAAACAATAAAATCTTGTTCAAAGTATTGACTAATTGACATATTTTAAATGGAAAAATTTTCTTGTCCGTATGAATAAAGTAATTTTCAATACATTCTTATTTTTTATTGTCTAATAATTTTTCCCTCATTGTTCCTTAACAAACAAATAAGAGAAAACTTTGTTTCGAATAATATGTCAAATAAATCACACCAACTATTAGGTTGTTTTAAAAGTTATCGAAGTGCTCAAAAAGATGGTAGTCGGTTGACGAGAGGTCTGGTGAGTGAGGCAGAACTTCGACGTTCAATTCGTTTGATTTTCAGACGGTGAAATGTACGAACGAACGTTGTCGTGGAGCATATTGAAATATAGAGTAGCTCTATTGAGTCAGGTTGCGTCTTAAAAGCAGCAGATTCAAGATAGCCTCAGAGAAAGAAATCAAGAGGAGATAGGTTCGGGGATCTAGGAGGCCATTCAACAGGACCTCTTCTTTCAATTCATTGATTAGCATAATTATTAACTAATCATTGTCTAAATGGATGAGAAGATGCCGCATTGTCCCATCCTGTTAAGATTGTAATGTAATAAGTTTTTTTCTAAAGATAATTTGCCCTGTTCTCCGATTATCTAATTCAAAAACTATCTGAGGTTCGATAGATCTTTCTAGCATATGAACATAAATTTCGCCATTCAAATTTCCTTCTAATAATAGTGGACCAATAATTGCATCTCCCAATTTAACAGCCCAAACACTAAGTTTTGGGGTATGTCGTCACTACAGTAACGACAGTTTCATTCATATGCGTGCCCATTTGAATGAAAAGTGCCCTCGTTAGTAAAGCAGATATTTTTGATGAGCCGAGATTCTGTCATAATTCTAGTTGTCTTAATTTCGCGAAATTCAATTCTTCTGTCGGGGTCTTCGTCACCAAGTTCTTGAAGGACTTGCATTTTATAAGGATGAAATGTATGTAAATTGAGTACTTTTCTTACAGATTCGCGGTATAATCCGGTTGCTGTAGCTGCCTGACGAGTCGATAAAGTATGGTTAATTGCAAACTGTCCGAACATTTCAATTTGCGTTGCTTCGTCCAGTGATCTTGGTGGATCCCTTTTTTCACTTGTGACAGTACCAGTTTTTTGAAATTTTGCTACTAGTTGACGAATGTACACGTGACATACATTTCTCTCCGGTACCCCTGGTTGAATTCTTGAGTGGGTCTTA